ATGACGGTTATGAATTACGCTCTGAAAATTGCATATCTACGTTACAGGTCTGAGTGCCTCAATTAAGTTTAATGAAATGTGAATCGACGCAATTGTGGTATTTTTTCGCTCTCATGGGCCGTTTAAAGCGTCTTTTACGAAATTACTTTTGGCCGGAGACTGCTAAGAGATCGAAAGAGAAGAAACGGAGACCTTGTCACCAATTAAATTTCGTTTTGCATTTAACTATAGGTAGTTTTTAATGGTATACCAAATCGTTATATCATAAGATTAATAATATACACATATGTTAATTCCTTCTTACTTACGATCTATTAGAGCTCAGCAAATAGGTGACATCACCACTATCAACATTTTGCCTCTATATTATATTTAACCAGTAGATTGTATGTTGCTGTGCATCTGTTCAGTTATGGATCACAGATGACATTAGAATATGGTAAGAACAAAAAAGTCACTGATGTTAGCAACAATGCAATACATACAATACAAGCTAATTACAAATCAATATGTACACAAGTTTTGCTCCCACCGTTTCCTGCGACTTTCAATAAATTTCAGGGCTTTCCCTCTTGATGAAGACATAATGTAAAGGTTTTGTTCTGACTGTTTAGGGAAAGAAAAGAATATAAGCTAACTCTCACTGGCTCTATTGCCAAATCGACAGAACACAAACATAACAGCTCTCAAAAGAGGACAACTTTATGCATATTAATTCTTTAAAAATACATTGAAAGAGGTTTGCAAATCGTTTACAAGTTAACAATCTCAGGATTCAATGCCATCAAGATATCGAATCCTGCACAGTTTTGAGATCTTAAAAGGTAATACTGGCTATGTCAGCAGTGAAGTCAAGCTCATTTGCTGTTGAAGGATATATATGAAAATGACCGTCGCATCTTGTCGAAAAGAACCATAAAATCTCCAAGCAAAGCCTAATGTAATTAGCAGTTCTTACATAAGATTCTGACTACTTGCCAACATATCCTGGAGTTAGTGGAAATTTGCAAAGAAAAGGCCTCCTTCTCGGCATAGTTTGCTCTTGAAATATGTTCTACTGACTCCTTTTGTTCCGCATAAATCGGGCATCTTAAATTCTCCGTCGTCTTTCTGTGCTTCCATAACTTAACATAGACAAGGAAGCATAAACATTGTACAATTAAAATATACAAACAATACTCAATTGAATCCTTGATGTAAGTCATATCTTAGCCTTTTCAGCAGTGACAACACGTCGGAGGATTGAATGGATGAAACTCGACGGCATTAAGGCCAACAGCCTGTTAGTGCCATTATTTTTCTGTTCTGAATGCGCATGCGCTAGTTGTGACCAAGCCCCTATTATTTCATGCCACCTGAGGGAGAATATTTTAGATCGCAGTTATATTGAAACAATTTACTTTTTCGATTTCATCAAAAGAAGAACAGCTCTCCTCTAATTTCTGGGATACCTGTGGTAGCCCAGTCATAAAATGCCTTTGTTTGTTTGTCGTCTTTCTTTTTTTCCTCTGCCACAAAATGGTAAAATAGTACCCAGAGGTCATTGGGCCCTCAACACCATGACAACTAACTGTGATCCAATGAGGTGTTTACATGCTGATCACGCGTGTTATCTTGATGATAATTGACGTTGTCATGCACGGACAGGGCCCGGTCACATGACGAACCACGAGATTTTTGCTTATAAAACTCTTTTGTCGGTCGTTTTGTATTTGAACGTGTTTGGATTACGGTCACCTGCAGCACTGTGGCGCAAACGCTCAAAATACTTACAGACGCATACACAAGTCGTATTGTTCGCGGCCAATCCACACTAAAAGATGTTATTGAGCGGTAATTTTGGAACGGATTGAGTCGCGAACGTTTGAAAGCCATGAAAGCCTTATATGCCTTGTATGTCAAGTATGCCAATGTCTTAGTTGAAAAACGAACACTTGTTGTAAAAAGCAAAATCTGAAATCTGAAACCAAACTGCATATACTCTATGCAATCGACTGAACAACACTACTACCGTGAGACTGAAGAACAAAACTCTAATGGATGCAAACTGCCGGTGAAGAAGGACGCCATGTTGGATTCACTTGATGCCAGGGAACGTAGCTACGATAAGAGTTCGAATGGTATTAATTTCACGATCAGAAAGGTGAGTCTTATGTTTGTTTTCATTGTAGTTGTATGGATATTCTTTTTTAATGAATACATGATCCAGAATCCTGTGTTTTTTGTGTATAATGTCAATATGCTAAGTATTGTTTACACAATTGTCTTGTCACAGGCGGCTCAAGCTCACGCCTCGAGAAAAAACCAACGATTAATTCATGAACGCGTCACGCGCTGTGTGACGAGAGGAACCGTTGAAAATTTGAACACGTTATAAGGAATAGCATAGGGAACGAAATATCGATTTACAACGATAAATATTTCGAAATATGGACATTTTTCTCGTAAAATCAATAAAACTTACTCATACCCTTTGTATCCGTCGTAGTTTCTGGCGATTTCTGCCGTTTTAAGCTTGCTTTACCATCACTGTTATTCACGTCATCTACTTTTATTACGTTGGTAAAATCTGTACAGACATCACACCAAACAACTCGCGCGCATAGTAAGAAGACTATATTGAAGGCTTGAAATTATATCACGATCGATTTTCATCAAGGAATAGGCCAGGGATTTTTCACAATAGTGCAAATAATCGTGAACGCTGATCGCGGAAAAGCGATTGCGTGACGCTCGGTAAGCTGTAAGATGACATATTATTATATACTAGACGTAGAATCTCTTCAGATTCTCAGTCTGCAATTTGGATCCACTCTGAAGTCTGCAGTCTATATTTTGTATCCGGTCTGCAGTCTGCTGTCTGCATTTTGTACTAACAGGTATCCGTGGCATCAATACAGTTTATTTTTGGTTACATTTATTCGCACAACACACATAATCTACCACAAAATACCTGTGTGTGAGGTAATTCGACATTTTCGTTCTTTTCCGCGTTAATACTCTTCTTTCCTTTTGTAAGAATGTAGACCACTTACAATGTTTCAAGTAATCCACCCACCCTACAAAAAATAACTCTTGCATGCATAGCGTGCCTATGTTTTGAAGTAGGTGTATGCCCTTAGCCAGACTTGAGCTCACTATTTCAGTATACTAGTCCGACACCCGTAGTATCACTAAACTTGATTCCAAGGATCCAGTACCATCCAGGTATCCCAGTTACCCTGCTCACAGGGTCTAGTTTTAAATAATCTAAAAGGCACAGCAATCTGCTGTTGTCGATATAAGAATCATCTAAACACAGTACAAACCGAGAACTGAACCGGAGGTCTTTAACTAGAAAGTGGCTACAAGGTCACTCTTTCTTCTCTTAACGGCCTCCGGCCATAAATAATTTCGCAAAAATTATTTACAGGGCGTGAAATTAATTTTTTTTTTCTGATAGCCACTTAGCTCCTAAATTCTTCAAAATGGTAGCCAATTCAAAAATAGTTGGTCCCCATTATCAAAGACAAACAAGACCTTTTTTTACGCTGTCAGCGTTCTAGATAGATCCTCCAAAATTAAGTTAGGGAAAAGATCTTTAACGTGCTTCAAAGTGGAAACTAGGATGGATGATATACAACGTTTGTGCTTACCCAAATTCAAGATAGCGTCTAGTTATTGATCGAGAGGCATGTGCAGCGCTTTGGAAACAAACTTAACGAGGAAATTTGCTGCGAATTTATCTTTGCAATCTTTTAATTCACTCTATCTCTAGGTAAGATTATAATGAAACATTCTAATCGCCAATTTGGTGACCAATTTTCAGGATTTGGTCGCCAAAGTGAAAAATTTAGTCTCATTAGCGCCTGTATCAGGCGCAATTTCACGCCCTGATTTATATTTATTCATAAGGGCCTGTTTGCATGTAGGTGGGGGACCTCAGGTAGGTTAGGTACCCCGCCTAACCGTGGTCGTTTACATTTATACCTAAGGTGGAGCCTGAGAGATCGAAAGCACCAAGAAGCGGAAATATGTCAGTGTTGTGAGACTTCCTGATCTGATGTCATAATTTACTTTCTGTTTTTCTTGTTTACTTTCTTTTTCTTGTTTCTCTTGTGAAGCGCGAATGACTTAAATTTTGTGAGATTGCTGGTCTGCTTGTAATTGTTGTTAAATTCTTTAGCTGTCAACTTCTCGATCGAATGCCATAATCGCTTGAACTTTGCACAGATAATTTTAATTTTGTTTCATTGAAATGCAAAACTTAAATAATGCACAGTGTAAAAGGGACAACATCTTATTATGACTTTCATTGCCAAAAATTACAAGTGAAACAAAGGAATCAGAATCTCAGTACTCTGTAAATATGTCGGGGGATGATTGAAATCGATAGAAACTGAGTGAGCTCTTTGATTTTTAAAATGGTTTTCTTTATTTTTAAAGAATAGCTAGGCTATTATAAACCCATTGCAACCATTTAGAAAGTTTCATAAAAGTTAGGATTTTGTGATGAAATTGATCAGTACATGGCGAAAAACCTTACTTCTCTTGATAAACACCATCTACACATGGTTGAATTGCTGGTTAAAAAAATATTACTGTTTCCCTACTGGCCCACCTTAATCAATAAAGGAATCTTTTTACGACAAGAGATTCATCCGCTAAATTTCAAAATATAACAAAAGGGACAGCAGATGCAAAATAAAATACACGTTTTGTGTAAAAAAAACTTATAAAAAAAATCTATAACGCTGGGGGGGGGGGGGAAAATTTAGGTTGCAGTTTTTATACTTGTTATAACAAAATCGTTTGTCTTTCCAAGACTAAAAGTATAAAAATAACTGAGAATATAAGAAAGCCGCACTTTGACTCGCTTTCTTGTCAAACAGCCTGTTTTAAAAAGTTGCTTAAGAGCAAAAAATATGGCCGAATGTAAAATATATAAGGAAAATAGAAGATGATGTCATAGGGCTCCAATATTCATTACTCCATCCCTTCCTGTAGGAGAAATCACTCGCTCACACGGCAAGATCGTCAACATTAACGTAGAGTCGATCATCGTAATTTTTTAAGTTTATCAGCCCCTGTAAAAAAAACAAAAAACAAAAGGCATACGAAAAAATATGAAAAACGAGTATAAATTATGCTATAATCTGTTAAGCTTTCGAGAGTTCCTTCATTTTTTTACCCAGAAAGAGAGCATATTGCTGTTACAATTAATTTTAGATAGTGAAGTCTTATATTAATCATCGAGAATCAACTAACCCTAAGCCTAACCCTTGAAACACCAAACTGAAAGTATTCACAACTATCAATGAGAACAAAGGTTAACATCAACATTAATCAATGAGAACTTAAAGTAGGATCTGGCATCCTCCTTGAAGCGCGGAAAACGCTCGTGATCAAGCTGGGATTAGTTTTAGTTTTTACTTTCGATTTGCACTTTCGAAACTCAATTGAAAACTGCTCGAAAAGCGAAATAAATTGAAGTCATAAACCACGCTTGCAAGCATTCATGGTGCCGCCGTTATCAAGTTAAGTTGATGGTGATAGATTCTAACAATCAAACTTTGAAAAGGGAAAAAAGAACACAGAGAGTCTGTTTGTAAACTCTACCATTCTACCTTGTGCTGTTTTTCCATTTCTTTGAGTTTGTTTCTCAACTTCTCAAAAGATGGTCTCAAGTTAGGGTCGTCTTTCCAACATTTTGTCATAAAGTCATACCTAAAAGGACGTCAAAAAAAAGTTTTATTAGAAACGGTTCAAAAACCATTTTGGTCTTATAATTCCATCTTGTTACAATAGAGGACAAAAGATTTATACAAAAGAAATCAACTGGTGATAGTGTACTTCTTCTTTCATTTCCCTTCGTTAGGCTGGTTCAATAAGTAAAGATGGGTTTATCTTAAGGCGCACATGAAACTCGAACAAAAAGCGGCACAAATACTACTGTACGATAAAAGCCATCAAGAAACAATAATAAGATATAATCATACAACTTAGCATCCACATGTTGTGGTTTAGGCATTCTGTATCCCTCTTGAAGTAAGTTTGCAATTTTTCTTCCATCCATCCTTGGATACGGTGAACCACCTGAATAGAGCACTTAATGTTAATATACTCTAAAATGAAAAGCTCCACAGATGTATTTCTATTAACAATTTTTCCAGCTAGGGCCAGCGACTTGGTATGACCGAAAGCCAATTGGTACACCCTGCTTACTTCATGACTTCGTGTCCCCCCAATTTCTGAGGCTAAAATTACTGGACTGGCAATCTGCCTAGTAACTTACCAATCGTGAAAATCTCATAGAGGAGAACTCCGTAGCTCCACCTGTAAAACAAACGGGATAAATTTAAGGAATAAAATTTCTTTCCTGCAAAAAAAATTAATTAAAACATCTTTGGTATTAAAGGGGAAGGGGGAAGGAGGTGGGGAGGGACACCTGCACAGGGTCATAGGAGTTGATCCCTGGTCACTAACCATGAAAAATGAGAATAACCACTTCTCACTGAGATGAGCTTACACCAGCAAAATAAAAAGACCTAAATACAAAAGTTACCAAATAACTTTTTGCAGACCTGAAAACAGTTCATACAAAACCATTCTCATTGAGCTTAACTGCAGTGTTATGTCTTCCTTGTACTCACACATCACTCCTGGATGGTAGAATATTTTCCGTAAAGCAACGCCTCAATGGCAGTCCATTTTACAGGGAGACGCCCCTGAATAAGAAGCAAAAATGCGAGGAGTTAGCGTAGTCCTTAAAAAGTACTAATGCTCCCAATGACGACAACACCGTAACGAAAGTTCCGGGAAACGGAACAGGATTTACTGAGCTTTTTTCTTTAAGCAGTCACTCCAGTGAGGCATCTTAAGCCACACAATCCAAGACTTACGAGAACATTATATGATTTCTTAAGATCATTCATACCCTGGTTTTTCTTTCATAAATATTGTCCTCCTGCACATCTCTGGCCATTCCAAAGTCCGTCACTTTGCATGTTTCCTCCTCTCCAACCAACACATTACGAGCTGCAAGATCTCTATGAATAACCTTACACAAAGAGAAAACGTTTCTTTCGGAAAACACCATTTAACGAAACGAGAGACCTAGGGGTGACTCAGCTGACATGGGATGACATCCTAGGCAGTGAGTCCACGATTTAATGAAAAGTCAGGTATAGTGAGTGACAAATGAGGCCTTATTCTATAAGAACGTCATTCAAAGATTTATTACATCACTCACTGGTATCGATGACAAATAAGACATTCCATCAGCGATTTGCCAAGCAAATTTAATCAGCTGTTGTGAGGTCAGATTTGTTTGTGGTTTGATATCCGGGTCTTTGTAGTAAGTATCATTCAAACCACGGCTCTTTCTCAGGTAACCCAGCAGATCCCCAAAAGGAACATATTCGATCAGCACAAACAGTGGCTCTAGGGAGACAAACAAAGTTCCGCATATGCTTGATTATTTACCGCAGACGGAAGCAAAATTAACAATAAATGTCACTCTTCAATAAACGGCACAGCAACTTGGAAGAGTACGACAATTATTCAACGTTTGTAAGAAAATAAAATATCAACTATCCTATAACTCGGTTATATTCACAATTCTTGTAAGTTTATTTTAGAAGCAAAGTAGCCATAAGTTTCTAAACTTGAAAAAATAATTGGGAAGGGTAAAATGTCGATGCCACTGAACTGACATCGTATCAAACTTTCATTTAAAGCAGGTCATGTTTATCTTCAAGGTCTTCTACCGGAAAGATTCCCGCCCTCATAGAGTGTTCACATCTGACCGGCTCATATCCGCCACATGTATGCAAACCTTAAGCACGCAGTTTTGGTGTTGGCCCATTTTTGGTCCACCAGTAAATTTTGCTGATCGTAGATCTCACTTATTGATTATACATACACTGCTGTTTAGCGGACAGTATACAACTGTGACTACTTCTTTGCTGTCAAATTAACTCTATCGAGACCTCACACGTGCATGCAAGAATAGAATATGCCCAAACTTTCTGCGTCGGTCAGCCGATTTTCTCAGAAGTTAACAGAGATGGAAACAATGGGTTATGAAATGATGGGGTGAATTAAATGGACTATACTGACAAAGACCTCCTCAAAAACAAGAAAAACGTAATGAACGCCGCGATGATCAGTCGGGTAAATAAGGTACCTACGAGTGGCATCCTATGAATTGATTTCAAGACAGTTTCTTGAACCTAAACAAAGAGGGCTACGCGGACCTCTGGGTGTGAGTCTCGTTGTCTACTTTTACCCGAAGATACCAGTCGTTTGCTTGGTTCTTTCGCCCTGTTTCAAATAAGCACCCTCCTGTTGCCTACCAAAAGTAAATGAGCGCCCTAAGCGCCAAATCGAATAATTACGGTATACTGATATTAAACTTTTCAGTATTTACCAGACTTGATAACGCATCCCAAAAGTTTGATAACGTAAGGATGAGGTTTAAGTTGTTTCATCAATTCAAGTTCAGACAGCAAATCCTTCCTCTCTGATTCAGAAGCGTTTTCTGCAACAGGATTTCCGATCAATCATGGTCGAATAACATTTCAATAATACTATTATCTAGGTAAACGTATACAGATGGATAAATCATTACATTACATATATAGAGATTGATAGACAAAAAGATAGATTGATAAATAGATAGACATGTGGACAGATTGATAGATAGAAAGATAGATAGATAGATAGATAGATTGAAATAAAGAAAGGTTGATAGACGGAAAGATAGACAGATAGACAGATAGGTAGATAGCTAGATAGATTTATAGATTGATATACAGATTGCCAGACAAATAGATATACAGATATACAGACGGAAAGACAGGCAGACAGACAGACAGACAGATAGATAAATAGATATCATGCGACCCTACCATACATCATATTCAAGGTGCTTTTCTTTGTCGACGTAAAGTGCCTAGGCTCCCAAATGTGACCATCATTTGAGGGGGAATGTTTAAATTATATCTTAAAATTCCATCGCTACATCAAGTAGAACAAGCTTCAAACTATGGACATAACCGTGGACTAGTCATATAGAATGTGATTACTCTAAACAGGAGCTTGGAAATTATGCAGAAGCATATCATTAAAATAAAAATAAACGGAATAATTTGGACAGACTTCTAAGTTAGTTCAAAGACCAAGTAAAAAAATGACTTTATTTCTTGGTACCTTTCAACATTTTGACTGCTACGAGCGTCTTCTCGGCTCTTCCTTGTAGATTTACGGCTGTTGCCTTGGCAACCTGACCAAAAGCACCTTTTCCAACTATCTGCTTTATCGTCACATGTTCTCTAGGAATCTCCCAGGAGCGTGCGTATGGATTAAGAGAAGCGTACTCGCTGATTTGTTCAGTGCTGAGTGGACTGGCATCTGCCATCACTCGTGAACGAGTTCTGTCATCCAGTGCCATGTAATGGCTTTGAGAAGGTTTAAGCAATTCGACTGCAATCTCAAAGACAAAGTTGTCTTCAATCAACAAAAGATAATAAACTACCCAACTTGCTCGGAAATTATTTCAAATCTTCAAATCAGCTGTCTTATGAAAAATAAACCACTATTATTTGAAAATATCAATGAATAATAGACTTGAAATCTGTATTGATCATAACTTTCTGGGTTCGTGTACGAACTGTAAACTGCAGTGGAAAGACTCTCAGTAAAGACAGCAACGTAAAAACAAATCGTACCTAGGGCTATAGGAAAATGTACATATATATGAAGACAAAAGATTTCGTCGCATCACTTACATCGGTACTTCCGCCTGTTTCATTACTTGAATTTCCAAATGTTCTGGAACAGCGAATCAAATATATTACAAAAAAAACCCAATTCTCTCTGACTGTAAAATCCTAACAGACAGCTCAGTCCAGTTAGGAAAGCAGCTGGAAACAAGGTATAGGCTCAGATACAGTCAGCCTACATGTAGCCGTACCCTCCCTCTACAGTCAGACCATAAGAGCAGAGTAGACTTGCCCTGAGCTTCTCATATGTGATTGTCTTAGAGAAATTTTAGTTTTAAGAGCCAGAGGTTTCGCATCCTCTGCATTCAAACATTGAAAGTTTCATTTCCCCCAGTTACGAGCAGTGGAGACGAATATCATGCCCTTATGGTGGTTTCCTGCCACCGAAGGAAAAAAGACTTTATCCTTATGAACCTTCTAAATATACTGTAGCGAATGATAACAGTATTATGGGCAGATTAACTAAAATTTATTTTCCAAGGCTCTACAAATTTGTCAACCTTAAAGATTTTCTTAACTGTCACCTATCATTGTAACAGAAAACTTTTGGAGCAATGATAATTTTAATAATGGTAATGACAAAGATAACAAGAATTATAATAATAATAATAATAATAATGAAAATTGTAATAATAATCAAAACTATAAAATTCACAAACATGATTGGTTACCACAAGCCCAATTTAGGCTCCAATGGGACAGTGTACACGTCATGCTTGTTAATGGGGTGAGTTATTGGACAGTTCGTGTCATGTGCATGCGCTGTTGTCATGTACTTTACTGAGTTACCTGTTGTTGTTCTTGTTTTTTTAAATACAAAACATCGTTTCTTATATTTTGTCCTACTTTTGATTAACTTGTAATTAACATATCGGACTCCTGCTCTGGGATCATCCAATTTTTTAGATCACTCATGATTACAGACCAAATTGGACTCAACTCAGTCCTATTACCATTACTCATAATAACAATGATAATAACAACACTTTATTCCTTAGTCATAGTGAGATCACCGAGGGAAGATCACTTAACTAATAGGGGACACCTAGAAAACTAGTACTTAGGCCTGAACTAACACATGATGATCTTGCATTATATATATATATATATATATATATATAATGAGAATAAGATAATAAGCTTAACATACACTCTTCAGTTTTTGGTGTTCTTGTTCCCCCCCCCCCCAGTTTTCTACAGGTCATTAAGGTTTCGGTTATGCATGTACAAGTGACAACTATTAAATTCATTGTCCAAAAGTGGTATCTCTGCTGCGCAAGAGTGCCTTGAAGTTAGTGGTAATGAGATTAATCACAAACATTCACACGATTGAGCCGTAAAGGAACAACGCAAGTAAAGAGCAACATTTCCAATATAAAAATCTCACCTTCTGCTCACCGCCACCTCTGTAGTGAAAAAAAAGACACAACAAAACAGAAAAATTAAAGGAAACCGAAACAAAACAAAACAATATATAATCGACATCAAGCAGAATTTCTCTCTCACAAGCAAAGCAAAGTCTGTTTGATGTACATCAAGTTTAGTCTTAAAGTTTACAACGTCATGCAAGGTCTTTTAACCATAACTAGATAACAAAAACAAATTATTAGTTTATAATACACTGTTTTGAAAGGTATCTGTTAAAAATACAAAAATCGCTTAAGCAAAGATCATAATGCAGCAGATAGTGAACTGAAGATTGAACTTAGTCTTAGAAAAAAGGAAAAATGTAAAAGATATATGTCTGGGATGCCAAAACTAGTGTTCGTTTGAGAGCATAACATGTATGCAACACTTGCCTTTAGTGCCTTTCCTGTTGCACCTCATTTTCCTGCAAGTCCACCAAACTAATATTCCAGCAACAGCCAGTGCAACAATTGATCCAAATACTGCACCAAGAACAATACCTATGGTACCTACAATGTGTGATAAGCTTGAGAAATATTTTTCCCAATGATCTTATCGTAAAGAATCTGCCTCTGTACTTCTTTAATGGTCAGGAAACATTTGGAATTCAGTCAGAACTCTGACTGAATTCCAAATGCGTTGTAAAGAACTCAATTCTTTCCACAATTTTGTGTTTCACAATTCATTACATATATAGAACTGAACAGGCTGCGTTAATGCATAATTATTTACTCATTCAGAAAAAGATAGGGGATACAAATTCTGCTCATGCAAGGTTGAAAGAAATATGGGATAATTTATATCGAATATTCTCCCCTCTTTAGAAGCTTTTAAACCACAACTTCCAATTGGTTATTCACAGCGAAAATAAAATAGAGCCACCCACTCCTCAATCAACAAACTTGTGGATAAACTTGTGGATAAAATCGAGCATAATCAGATCTCACCTTTTTCCACAGCCAGGATTTGTTGCATAGAAGAAATAATATAGAAAAAGAGAAAACCATGATTATAATCTAATCACCATTACAAATATTTAAAGCTCATTAAAAGTAAAGCTACAAAGTTGTTCCCTGAACCAGAAAGATATAAGAGTATTAAGGTATATAACACAACTCATAAATTAAAGCTCAATTCAGTTGGACGGTAATTGTTTTTTCCTTCTATTTTTAGAAAACTTAAAGTCACAGGTGTCTAGATAGAGAGTACTAAATCAGATAAAATTACACGTCACTTAACATTTACAAAGTCTAGCATTTGTCATTGAAGAATGTTTTACCTGTGTTCATCCCACTTGGAAGCTCTGAAGATTCTATAAAAAATACACTCAATTAAATTGAGGAAAACAAGCATGGCTGCTATTTCCTTGGACTCATGCGGGCCACACATCGCATCTTAGAAAGAAAATGTAAACAAATCATGTTCTAAAACTACAGAACAAAAGTTAATTTAGGTAAATAAAAAGCATGAGATATTGGGAAACATACATGTACTAAACATTTGCTACATGTTTGCATTGAAATCAAAAGTTAACTTGAGGAAATACACAACAAAAGTGTGTACACATGCAATTGATGCATAAACTGTCCTGTTAGTGCTCAAATTGGGGCTGGTTTTGATTGTCATTGTTAACATTACCATTATACACCAAGTCTTCAGATCTCTGTATAAACCTGCTGCAGTAACAATTTTGAGTCAAATACAGTAACTTTCAAAAATGTTTTGTTACACCAAAAAAAATATGCTTACAACCAAGTACAGGGCAAGGACATTCATAAATCAACTTGCAAACTTTTGTATGAAGTGTTGTGAGGACTAATACCCCCATTAACTGGTGATGTGGCACCTCTACCTGTTAGTTCTACATCAGGTCTTTTCCCTTTTATGGCACCAACACTGAACTCTCCCAGCTTTCCATCTTTCACAGCGTCATTAAGTGTTATGATAACATCTTGTTCCTTTGTAGTGGAGTTGAATTTCAGTCCAAGGTCAACAATGATACTTCCACACCTTGGGACAGACATTAACTGAGGGTTAGAGTGACATGAAATGGAAAATAGATAACAAAAGAGCAAATAATAAAATTTCTAAATTTAAACATTTGTAAGTGAGAGCAACTGGCAATCATCTAAATCCCATGAATTCACATACCTCACACCTATCAACTGCACTCCTTCATAGCCAAGTTTATCAGAAAAAGCCTCCTCAAGCTGCAAGTTTAAGCATTTCAATCATTTGTCTTAAAATGTTAGTGTACATGTATCACACATGAGAACAAATGAGGATATCACCCAATATTTTGTATTAAATTGAAGATGGCTGCTTTGCTGAGAATTGGCTGAGAATCAGTCTCTGAGTATTAATCAGCTCTTTCTTAATAACTTCAATGAATATTTGTTATTCTTCTTGTCACTTGCCTCTCATTTTAATTTGGAAGAAAGCACCAGGCCTCTTATTGCCCTAAATACAGACCATGAGCAAACGCTGAATAATAAGAAGATTGTGACAAGCTTAATTTTCTACTTCAAGATTTGACAGAACTCTAACTGACTGCGTGCAATCTAGGAATTCAAGAAACACTGTAGAATTAAACGAAATATTCTCCACACATTCTCCACCAGCCAAATTTCCTTTTGATCATTATACTGCCAGCACAAAAGTCTCTGACCCTGAAGTAACCAACACTCAGAGACAGCTATAATTAACAATTTATCGAAGTTATAAGTACATTAAGTTACCAGTTCTTTAAATTTCTCCAGTAATAAGGATTGGTTGTATTTTCCATCTATGCATGTTTCACTGGTGATGACAATAGTTATGTTAATCACAATTCCTCCAATGTCTGTGAAGTAGGAGAAAATCATTACCAAAAATGATCAGCATCAACTGAATATGTTTGCTAACACAGATATTGGAGCACTAGAGTCTCCTAACACAGCATCTAATCTTAATTTGAACTGGAGTTTACATTTACAGGGGTGGGAGAACACCTCCCAGAACATTGCAGTGTTTCAAGCTGCGACAATTTTGGTCCCTGCCACGAGTGACAAAATATATTTTGCGACTAAAATTCCAACAAAAGTTGCCAATTGGAAACCAACAGATTGAAAAAAACGAAAGGGAAAAATGTGAAAAATGTATTAATCCCTGGACAAACTATCAATTAATTTACTGTTAGTTAACGCTTCTGACACATTCATTTCATATGTAACCATGTATGATAATGAAATATGACACATGGATGGAGCTTGGGAAAGAGCTCTCACGACACTTTGCACCCATAAGATTAAAAGTTGTGAAAAGTAAAATTCTTGACAAATGGTCAGTTCAAAAAAAGGCCAAAGTAGCCTTCAGTACCACCTTCTAACTTTAATTTTTATGGTAAGAAGTATGGTGACTAAATATCTAGTGATTAAAGATGTTATTCACACTATAGAAGACTTTAATAACACTATTAATCAGCTCACTTTAAACAGGAGATGTTTCTCAGCTGAGCAATAGACAGAAATCATATTAAACATGATTTGTTACTGAGTCTCACCAACTTTGTAGTAAATTGTTTCACGTTTCAGAAATCAGAATTTTTTTCATTCTCACTCTCTTGACTGTTATTACATGTGCAATCTTTTAATCATCAAGGGATATAAGTCTTTTTTAGGGGGAGGGGAAGGGATTGCAACAAAAACCTTTTATGGCAACCATTTTACAATTGAAGGTCACCCAAGGGTTTTTTTTTTGAAAAATTGAGCTTGGAGCCCATCACGGATGTACTTTGCCAAACATTAATACAAGTAATTGACAATACACATTAGAACACAGAAAATATGGGGAAAGTGTATCTGTGTTTAACATTATTCAATGTTTTTCTCAATGCATACTCACAAGTAAAAGTCACATAAACTGTTTGATTCTCTGGTTTACCAAAGCCATTATATGCTGTACAGGTATATTCTCCTGCATCAATCCTGTTTATGTTTGTTATGGTCAGCACCTTTCCTTCTTGCACCACAACAGTTTATCCTTGGTTCCCAAGCTTCTCTTTGGTCCAAGTGATGTTTGGTTCTGGTCGACCTGTTGCTTTACAGGTTAATTTCATGTTGTCACAAGTAAACTTCAAGGATAATTGAATGACATAATTGCACTGTTAACATGCCTTTACATGTTCTATGCAAACCCTGCATATAAAAATGAAATTCACACATTATGATTGTGCAAACTATGCCTTCAAGAACAGTCCCTGAATTATAATCCCATATTAGTGCTTTAATATCCATAAATGTCTGCCTCAGAAAAATCAGTGGACCTTCAAAATGCCACTTAATTTTTCTGAATTCTTTTCTCAGCTTCAACTAAGCATTATTATTTTAACTGCAGCATCCAACAAATAATTTTGTAGAAATTAATAGTGAGACCCACAGGAGCTATTTACAAAAATGTTCTTTTTGAAAATCATTGGTTAATTCTTTATTTCAATTCTGGAAACATCTCCCAGTTTCAGTTGCAGATAGTGATCTCTGCTATATCTCTGCATATAAAAGTAGGCCGTAAATGAGTAAAGATTAAATAGAAAATAATCCTTGACAGTGACCCAGGAGGTTGGGTGTAAGAGCAAGAAATTAAAAAAATCCCAAGAGGAAGGACAAAATAATCTTGCTGAAGTGGAGGAGGGCTTGTAGTTTAAGCAATCTTTCCTAATTGTGTGCATCCACCAACTATTAAGAAGTACTGCTGCTGCAAGTTCAAGCCACTATAAACTTGAAATCAAAATTGCTGTCTGGCGGAATTGAACCATTGTCTGTCATGGACATGAAACTGCTAACCAGATTATGGTTTTCAGGAAACTATCTAGCAAAGAGTCTCCTGGAACTCCCTAGAATGCTTTTGTGTATCTATTGGCATACTGAGCTATACCTCGACATGTGGTCACCCAAAAGTGTAAAATTTTATCTGTGCAAAACTTTGGAGCAAAAAAAACATACCTATACTGTACAATAAAGGCAAAGAGTAGGTGGATGACAATCCTCTAATCAACATAATTAGGAGAAATCTTGTGATTCATCTCTAATAAGTTACTTCCAAGTCCCACCTCCCCCCCCTGAAAAAAGTATTGCTTGAAATTGGTGACCATTTTGTAACATCAGGCAACATTCAAACGGGGGAGGATTATAGGGTAAATGCAAAAATTAGTAGAGCATGCTGAGACTTTTGCACAATATAGTTGTTAAGCAAGTATATCTTCTTTAAACATAATTGGGGTATATTAAAAACTTGACAGTCTTGAAATTAGACCTGAAGACTCTCACAATACCAACCAGAAATCTATGTGAAAGATTTTTAATTTTCATAATCTATCTACCTCAATGGCCTCAGATGCAGCACATAACAGAAAAAATTTAATGAGCAAACTTGACAGAAAACAAGAAAGCAAATTACAGTAATATCCAAAATTCACTTTACAGATTTGAAAATATACCCCTCCTGTTTGAAATTGTGTGAAATTTTATACGAGTAGTAGGATCTTATATCTGATTTATTTGTTTGAGGAGACATCCTCCTAAGTCAGTAAACTAGCTTTCCAAAGATAATTGCACCCTCAGTGCTTGCTAAGAGGGTAAACGAAGATCTTCTGATAAACTTTAAACATATTGTGTGTAAGAAGACTTTTGTCTACAATTAAATATGCATGTTACCCAAAATATAGTAATCAACACCTCTTTGGATTTGAATTGCCTTGAAGCCTTTAAAAATTAATTTCTTGATTTCTCTTTAGGTTGACTATCTTTTCACAATGTTATCCATGTGTGGTTTACCAAATAACATCACACCTAAATGTAGCCAAATGTAGTACTAACAGACAGCACTATGTTAGGGATTGGAAAATCTGATGGAAATAGTCTCGTTCATTGTTGCTTTGTGGTAACACCATCTCTAAACGCAGTCCAAGTCACAACCATTACTTGGTATAACTATCCTTTACACTGTTGAAATCATCAAATTGCTCCTTCCCGCAGATGAAAAGGGTTGATCGCAAACCATGATCACATGTGAGATTTTGTGATCACATTCTGGCATTTGATTACTGAGGTAAACAGAACGTGAAGGATGTTTGGGTTATCTTTAACCTCTAATTCAGGAATTAATTTTTTCACTCATCTCAAGGTGCACCCGGATTTTGAGCCTTTTGTTTTATGCATTTTGGGTCTTTGATTCACTTGGAACCTCAAGTGCTGTAAGACACATGCATGTGTACATGTAATTACATTGTACTAAAAGTTCGGCAAAACCTTATCTTACTTTCAACAGAATTTGGTTGCTCACTTTTAAACAATAAAACGAGGTACAGGCACCTACTTCCTAGCTATGTTAGTTGGATCAGTTAAGAACGCCTCCCTTTTTTAAAAATTTACCTTGAATTTGATCGGTTTTCGCGTGTGTGACTTAAGCGAACCGATACGGTGTCATTCAAGTCTTCCTGTTTCCTTGATTGAAACATGATGTTCACAAAAGTCGCCTCGATAGATAAGATAGAGTTAATATACATAGCTGGGCTATTTGTTTTTTGCTGAGTTCCGTAGTTTTTTGTAAATTGTCCTCCAAACTTGTCTCAAATTAAAGTCTTGAAAAGTGTCACGACAAGCCTTCGGTCGAGTGAAATTTAATCTAACACTCTGAAAAACGAAGAGATCCGATCAAACGGATTGTGGTTTTAGTATAGGTACATGAATGTCTTACAATACACAAGAAATGAGCGAAATCCGTGTCTCAGGCAAAATCGACCGGACCGCTCTTACAGAGACACTCTCTTAAACTTACCTATGACTTGCACTCTCTTAAACATGATATTTTCAAAAGCAGAGAACAAAATTTTGATAATGATAAGGGGTCATAATAAGGACAATAGAGAATATAAACTATTTTTTTATCTCTTGTTATGGAAGAATATGAACGTTTGTCTGATAGAAATGGGTAAATTGATTTTTATAACCATGTGGGACTTTTTACTGGGATTAATATCAGATTAATATGTTAATACCGTAATGGTATGTTGGTTTGTTGAAAGATGATAGCCAAGCACGAAGTTCTCCTCCAGGTGCTGATAACGTGTCTCTTCATCCGTTAACACGCTGCTGGGAAGTTCCAAAACCTCACGTTACCATAGAAAAAATAATTGGTAAGGGTGCTTTTGGTCAGGTTGCCAAGGGAACAGCAGTAGGACTTCGAGGGAGTCCTGAAACGACAACAGTGGTTATTAAGATGCTTAAAAGTGAGCTCTTTTACTGTAAATTGAATGACAGTCTTGGACTATGGTCATTCTGGAAATGTTACCGGGTTACCGTAATTTTTTAGCTATTTGCCATTTCATAACTTATGCTGCTATTTCGACATTTCGCATATTATTCCCGTTAACCAGATTTTATTCTTTGTTTTTAACGCTCCAGCAAACGCTGCTGAATCGGGCAAGAGAGATTTGATGAAAGAACTTGATATAATGAAGTAGCTGAAACCACATCCTTACGTCATTAAACTTCTGGGATGTGTTACTGAATCTGGAATGCTTTGGTTATGAGGTTCTAATTTAGCTGCCTACATTTTGTTTATGATTTACTCTGTAACACTTTCTAGTCATTCATAATTTGCTTCGATGGAGGAGTCACTGCTTCACAACTGAGCACGACAAACAACCATCGCATAAGTTAATTTTATCTTTTTTAGCCAACAGAGACGCTCCAGGATTCACTGACAGACTAAAATCGAATAATTGCTACTGAACCGATCATTCTGTTGAATAAGCAGAAACGCCTTTTGTAAGGGAATATTTGATCTGTACCTTCTTATGAGACCGTTACATAGTTTTTCGGCTTTTCTTCGAAAAACCACATGTTGTTTTCTTGCGATTTCTTTAAAAGTATTGACCATAACTGGGCTATTCACTTATTTTCTTTAGAGCTTTTTTTTTTTTAAGAGTGTAATATATCATTTAAATGTTCAATTTCTTCAGAAGAGCTGTTGGTCTTGATTGAATACGTGCCTTTTGGGGATCTGCTGGGTTACCTGAGAAAGAGCCATGGATTAAAAGACACTTACTACAAAGACCCGGATATCAAACCACAACAAATCTGACTTCACAGCAGCTGATGAAGTTTGCTTGGCAAATTGCTGATGGAATGAGTTACTTGTCCTCAAAATCTGTAAGTTAATTAAAAACACAAAAGACAATTCAAAAACCTTCTTATAAGGTGTGTCGTCATGTTAAGCTCTGTCCTGCATAGGATATTCTGTCTTCACAAGATCACGCCCAGGAGATTCAAACGTATCCTTACCGTCTTGTTGAGGCTATTTCTTTAGGGCCGGGAACCCTCCCACTTTTAACGCCATCATCTAATTTTTATTCCTATATGCGAATGACGATATTTGTGTATCGTTGCAAGTGTACCCCATCGAAATACAATATCCAGGTTTCCCTCGTGTACGCAAAGGCAGAGACTTGAATCAATGGGATCCTTTCAGATGTTCAGCGTAAACTGAGTCTACAACAAAAATCCATTTCAGTGTCTAGGAAAGAATTAAAACCTGAAATTTCAAAAGTTCGTCTTTGGTCGCTAAACTGCCACGTTGCAGAATCCTATTTCGGTTAAAATCTTAAATGAGGTAAGCGTTGTATAAAATGACTACGTATTGCAGAAATATAGGAGTTTACTTCTCTTTGGAATATGGAGTAGTAATTTAAGTTTTAATTTTCTTCCATCTAGAAGAAAGAGAAATGCGCACACCATATCATGTTGCTTGGTATTTCTATTTCCATATCTGAACCATTTCATTTTATTTCTTTTTCTTCTGCAATCGCCAATTTTTGCTGTCGCATCAATTCTTTCTTAGATCATTCACCGAGACCTTGCGGCCCGTAATGTGTTGGTTGGACAAAAGGAAACTTGTAAAGTGACAGACTTCGGAATGGCCAGAGATGTGCAGCAGGAAAACATTTATGAACGAAAGACTAAGGTAATCAAGAAAGAGGTGAGTTTAGTGATCTTTCGCAATCATTGTTGTAGTAAAGCTAATGTATTCCTGATTTCGATGAAGAAAGCCTTGGATGGGACCCTGAAGACATTAATAGCCATACATATTTGAGTATAATTTTAAATGTCATTGTCTTCGACTACTCGCTTCCTATAACTTTTAAGCTGTTTCACAAAGTGATATTTAAAATCTTTAGGGCCGTCTTCCAGTGGACAGCTTATGAGGCCTTGTTGTATGGTAGATATACCACTAAAAGTGACGTGTAAGTATACCCGACTATTATCCGAAACACTTTTCCAACAAATCTTATCAATGTTAATCAGAACTTGAATTCTATGCTTTGTCAGAGAATACATATATTTTGTTTTCCGTATATCATGTTAATATCTTCAGTCACCTGGGTTATATTTCTGTTTGATTTGTCTTTCTGCAGGTGGAGTTATGGAGTTTTGCTGTACGAGATTTTCACCAAATGTAAAATCGAATGGAAGTTTAATTTTTGAGGCTCTGTAGATGTTTTTTGCCATATACCATGTTTAATGAAACAATGTACCGTGTTCAGTTAGACAAACTTAGTGAGTTTCCCCAGGCCACCAGATGACACAGGTGGTGTTTCAGTGAAGGTCGTTTAATGAGCTTCCCCAAGCAACCTCAAACTTTATAAAGCGACACAGGTGGTGTTTCAGTGAAGGTCACTTTTTCGATGGTCTTGTGGTTCTTCCAGGGGGTTCACCTTACCCAAGAATGGATGGAAGAAAAATTGCATACCTACTTCAGGATGGATACAGGATGCCTAAACCACAACACGTCGATGAGGAATGGTAAGTCCTTTCTCAATTCGCTCTCTCTCATCGTATAAGGAAACGTTCTTTAAATCTCTAATAGATCATTTGAACAATACCAGGTATCAGATCATGATGAACTGCTGGAAGAACGACCTGGATGCAAGACCAACCTTTACTGAATTGAAAAATCAGCTTAAAGACATGGAAACCCTACACAAGGTGAGAATTTTGATCTACATGAGAGTTCTATTCTCTTAAGACCGACGGACTCAAGCACAGCTAGTTATGGTTTTAAACTTATCAGCATTGAGCGTAAATAGTGTAGTAATACGTACTCAGCTCGGTAAATTTTACAAAGTTTGGATTCCATCCTCTTGTTATGTCACTGTAGCTAGCACTCCACTAAAAACAGAGAAGAAGCAAAATTGGATGACAATTGATACTTTATGGTTATTTAAAAGATCATAGGATGATTGCAAAACTGCATTGAGACGCACAAAGAGTAGCAGACGACGACGCCATAACATACTTTCTCCTTGAATTTGTTTTGGTGTGAAAAGCTGACCGCTTGTGAGGATAACCGCCTATAACTAAGAGGAACACTTTTTGATAATGCTGATTGTTATATTATTGTTTTCTGCCGAAACTGATCAACATGAGAATATACGACAAACGGTTGTATGAAAACGTCGAGGATTTAATTGTGTAGTTAGATGCATATCTGCGGTGTATGACTGTCCGACAGTTTAAACACTTTGCTACAACAAGCTTTTGGGATCAATTATCTTTTCCTTTCCCGCTCACTTGGTAGAAACAGCTAAGTTGTGGTAATTCAATTGATTTTTTAAATTCTTAAACGCTGGAACGCTTTCATATGATTACCGATAAAGTATACTCTCATATTCTCTTTAACATATTAAGCACTTACACGTATGCACGACTAAAGCGTTTGAGTTGTTTATTTCTGGTTCAATTCTGAAAGGAAGGAGAGTGCGGAAAAAAAATTCAATTTACCAGGTTTACCGGTTCTCTGTAGAGAGCCTCGAGGCGATTAAAGACCTTGTTTCTGGCACACAGCTGTTTTCAAACGAGCAGCTCATTCTTTAGAACCAACATGTTTACCTAACACGAGGATCCTTCTTTACGAAAGCGCCGAATTCGTGCAACTATGTTGATGATACAAGATATACTGATCAAAGCAATGATTTCTAGTTTTTGCGAGAGCATGTATTTGAGTTATTTTCGTTTTCAATCAAACGCGTGGCAAGATGAGGGTGTGATACTTTTACTTAAAAGTCTCGCAGTGAAGATGCGAGTTTCAATTTTTTATTTATCTTGAAAAAATCGATTCCAAGGAGTGTTTCAAGAACACATTTCCTTTTTTTGTTTATTTAGTCGTGTACCTCTAACTGGTAGGAATTTCAAATCAGCTAAAGAAAACAATTCTGCCATGCAATCATTGTTTATGAAACAGAAGTAAAAAAAATGGTCCATATTACTCCTTGGAAAGCAGAAATGCGAGTCTTTTGTGCCCTCCATCTCATTCGATTTGTATATACAAACACACCCCTCATGGAAGGTAAAGGTCACAGAAAACTGGCTTTCTAGGCTGATGGATTAACATATCTTCAAACGTTACAATGTTTTCCTTATGTTCGAAATAGTAAACAATCGGGACAGTAATCACTCATTTTAAAATAGGAAAACTGACTGCTGTACTGGATAGAGGCCCAGCGTAAAGCAAACATCAGTCCCCGTTTTCTTATATAACCTCGTAAATGCTGGAAAGGCAGCAACAAGATTACTATGTTGACAACAGACTCTGAAGTACAATTCAGTGATCGCTGCTTGTCTGAAAAACCCCCTTTTTATCTTAGTTCTATTCCATTTTTTCCTTAATTGCAAAAAAACAACAACAACAACAACGAAGTGGGTGAATTCCATACCTGTCTCTAAGAATCAAAATAAAGAAAAGATTTCATTTGCAGGTTTTATTCAATGCTACAGTAGGAAACTTTTGGATCCTTCCTCCCCTCCTAGTCTCCCCATAACCCCATAACCCCTGCTTCCCTCCACTTAATATTCCATCTGTTCATCTGAGGCGCCCCTCTGACTTTAGACTTAGCTTTACTAACACCGTAGCTGTAATACGTAACAAAGCTAGTTGTTGTTTCCACTTCGTGTTCGTGCAGTAGCTTCTCGGCTGATTTTATTTCGGGCACAAGACCAAAAGTCTCATAGATGACACGGTTCGAAGATATACGAAGCTGATACCAAGATATAGGGAATCTTGAGGAAAATTTCTCTCCAAAAAAAATTGATTCGATCTGATTTTCCCGCTCTTCTTGCCATGTGCTGACTGAGTTTGAGTTATTTCGCTTGTGATCCGCTTGACTTCCGTTTCTAGCCCCGGGAATACGGGTACACTCGTGCATCTCCACAGAGATAGATCAGCGGAACCCGACCTTGATTATGTGTAGTATCCCTTGGAAAAAAATCCATGCATATATCGCCGATAAGCGAGAAAGAGGAGCTGAAAGCTTTCTGTTACGATTTTTTTTTTTATTCGCGTGACTTTCGTTTAGCTTCCTCGACAGTCATGCTCATTCGACACATTCGCCAGTTTCACGCATAGTTTACTCTGAATGGAACGTTTCTCCAAAAGGAAAGTTTCTGCAATTCATGCAAATTTCCAGAGTTTTCTTCCATAAACTGCACCATCCGTCATGTTGTTCAGGCAATTTAGCCGACTGCGGGCGACAATTTCACGAGAATGATCGTGGCACTCGGTCCCAGTCTGAAAACGAAGAATGGCCTTCTCGTCTATCCCACTAAGGGACTCAAGAATCTGGGCACAACCTTCCTCATCGAAGCAAAGGGCTAAGAAGATGGTAGCTTTCCGCGATTATGAAATTTACTTACTCTTTCTTCTGCTGGTAAAGTTTCACGGGTCAAGTAGGTGTGAAATTTATTCTCCCGTACAAAGGATTTACAGTGTTTTTTACCATGTGTCATTTTAAGCTTAGACACCGAAAACGCCGACCCTTTCTCTCTGAACGTGATGCTCCTTAAAATGATTTCCGAACTCTAAAGTGGCTTTCAACAGTCTTTGTATTTGAAAATTTAGATATGATGTTGGGATTTCAATTACGTGATAAATGAAGTCTGAATGACTGTGAGGCGATTGAAATCAAGAGCTTCAAGTGTAACAAAACTACACGTTCAGAATTTAACATCTACAACAGCGGTCGAGCGAGTAGGAAGGATGAGGATTAAAGGATTTCCCAAACAATTTATTGTAAATGCACACCAACAGCAATACAGCAGGTAAATTGCATAGAAAAAGTTCTTGGAAATACGAGGACGTAATAGACTAAAACCTGTTTGAAATGACAAAACGAAACAGAAATTGTGCAGAAGATAACAATAAACTGGATGTGAAGTATGGTCACACAACTGAATTTTAAGAACCAATAACAAAAATTACTCGACGCGGTTGCACAAGCGATTTGCATGAACGATAACGTGTACCACTGAAAACGATGAAAAATTCTACAGTAAAACTGTGTATGCCGATTATGACTAAACAACAGGAGGATTCTACAGACAAGTGTGAAAGGTTAGAGCGAGTCTAAAAAAATTAAATGGAACGGAAAGCACTAACTGGCGAACAAATAATTGTGACCCACATGGCAAATAATGCGATTGAAATTATAACTAGAGCGAAACAAAACGAACGAAAATTAACAACTAAGCTAAGAAAATATAGCCCAAAAGCAAGAGTTGTAAACTGATTGAAATGTTACAAACTGTGCGATTATCGAGCCAAAAAAAAAAAATTGAAGCTAGCGAGCAAATTTTGGAACAAACGCGTGCCTCCACTTACAATAACAACAGATTAAAATTTAACGAGAAATGCCCGTTAACAAAAGAACGAATTTGCCTGAGTCCTTGCGAAGGAAAAGCAAATGCAAAAACGGGTTAAAAAAAATACAACGAAATTATTTCAAACAGTGAAACAAAATGATAACTAAGCGACTAAAAGCGATTCGGTAATTAACAAGGTCAAGCACATGCACTTAGTGTAGCAAACATCATAAACAATCTTACCTTACCAGGAACAAATTCTGCAGCTCCTTAGCCTTCTCTCAAGTGAATTGTTCAGTAGGATAGCACAAACTCAACTAAACTACAACCAAAGTTTGCTTCTATTTGAGAGTGAGGATTGAACTGTGGACCTTCGAGGGCACTGTGAAACCATAATGGAGGGGGCCGTGAAACCACATTAAGCTTATAGACGTGCAAATATAGCGGCATTCCTAAGTGATGTCATAAGCTTGTCAGATCAAACCGGAAAATTCCTAATTTGTTTTATTCAACGGAGAAGGAAAAAGTTGTTAATGGTGATGTCACCTATACCTTTGTCCTCAAATAGATCATAATTACATGAAAGAACCAATCAAAATGCATGTAGAATTCAGCTTATTATATAAAACATTATTGATCATAGAGATGTGGTCAAAGATATTCAAAGTTGCTGTGGCTTTGCATCCACGCTCTAGACTTTAAAGAGAGCTACCTAGCAGCAGCTACGGTCCTGCTTCGAGATATGTACGTGGACGATATCCTTCACTTAGAAGAAACTGAAGAACACGCCGTTCTCGTCCGTGAAGAGTTGACAAGACATTACGAGTGCGTTGGAATGCGAGTGAAGATGTTTTCAAGTTTTTTTTCAAAGAAATCAACCCGTCCTTGTACACGAAGCGAAGCCTGTTAAGTCGTATTGCTACAATGTTTGATCCATTGCAGTTCTTGGCGTCATACATCATTAGAGCAAAAATGGCTTTACAAGAAGCCTGGTTGCGAGTTCTTGAATGGAAAATTTAAAGTTGATCACTCATCAGTGGGCCAAACAGTTGCCTGAAGACAAAAAAAGACAGACACGGGTCAAAATCCCACGCTGCTATCGACAGCACGAGGAAGGAGTGGAAGACGTCTCACTTCATACGTTCGTTGACTCGTCAAGCCTAACCTATACCGCAGTAAGCTACGCCAGATACAAACACTTGAGTGGACAGATCTCAGTTGCCCTGATAACAGCCAAAGTAAGAGTAACACTGATTAAATCCGTCAGCATCCCACACCTTGAATTAATGGCAGCAGTACTCGGAGTGCGATTAGCTGAAACGGTCTCTGAGAAGCTAGAAATTCCGCTAAGTCAACACAACCTTTGGACAGACCGTATGGACGTAATCTAC